GTCTACAGTAGGCTAGCAACGATGAATGCTAGATGAATGCTATCAACAGTAGCCAGTAGACAATTTTTTTCATCTTCCAGGGAATGAATGATTTATATTTTGATGTGCAACTTGAATAGAATAGAATCCAGAATGATCTTTGTCCATATTGGCCTAGCCCTAGGCTATATTATTCACCACCTGAGGAAGTGAGAACTCAAAACACTTACCTAGATTGCTAACTTATTATGACCATGTTGCTAGAGAGCCATGTTGGATTATTGATTAATATATCAGTAAATGTAATGTGCTACAAAAACTTTCCAGCACTAGGCCTATACAGGCTACTTGTTGTAGGCCTATTCACAACAAATGGCGCGCTACGCGGGCCATCCAAACCATATACTAGCCTACATAGCCTACTCCGGTTGTGCTATGAACTCAATATTGAGAGGTGAGAAATAAAGGATATACTCACAGAAAGATGTGGCTATCCTCTCTTTAATTAAAACAACAGCAGTTGCTTTGAAAACTCTACTTTTACCGCAATTGCATTTTGAGCAATGGTCATACAGATGTAGGATCTTAACTTGAGGCAGTTTGCTACAGCAGGAAAATAATCCTGCAGCAACAGGAAATGTGAACTATTATGTGTATTATAATTCATTGACATTTTGTGTAGGGATTAATACATTTTTCATTATGGCAAATCAAGTCTGACATTTTAAAGTGGAAATTACTAACTTTAGAAGCCTTTTAAACCTCGAATACACTACAAGTTTGCATTTCCTGCTGGGCAGGAAAATTCTCAGCAACAAAAGAGTGATCAAATAAAAATCCTACATCTGTATGGTTGTGCTTATTAGAATACACCTCTCTCTCCTCTGTGCGCACAGTAGGGAGATGGAGTGGCTCGCTCACATAGTCACCGACAGAGAAACACGGACAGGCAGATACTTTCATATGGTCTATTTTTGGTCATTTGCACATTACTGTTTGAATAAATCATGATATTACAAATAAAAAGCAAATTGTGAACCAAAAACTAACGTGACCAGCAAAAGAAAATCCACAGTGTTGCAAATGCAAGTGTTTGGTCGCAGTTTTGAGCCCTGAGATCTAGAGGAACAGACTTAGAACCCTTTACCTTGTGTTGTGGGAATACTTGGTTTTCTTTCTGTCAATTTTATGCTATCAGTCAAAAACACACTCGACTAGTGGTTCATTTAAACACCATTCAAACCATTGACACTTATTTATAGAGCAAAATTATAGCATTATTATATACAAGCCTATAGCAAAAAGCCAGCGTACAGTGCATCCATCAACTAGGTCCTGGAGGGATAGTGTGTGTGTTTGAGCCCTGTGCGCTGAAGCTCTGAAGTGTAGAGCGGGTGACAGGGGTGGGGAGAGAGGGACATAACACTCATGATTGGGCCATGTGCTGAGCTCCCAGCAGCCCCCTGGGCCTCTGGCTGCTAGGCCTTCTGGGAAAGGGCTGGGCTGTGTAGAACTACAGTATGTCTCTCAGACAGTAGCTTCAGAGACTGAGACTCCTCTTTGATATGCAAATAATCAGATGCCCTATGGACCATTCCTTTCGCGCACCACACACCCCTCGTCTCGTTAGCATTCAATAGCATTCAGAACAAAACGCAGAACCAAAATAAACTCTCCCTCGCATTCCAGCAGCGGGCTCAGAAATGAAATCATTACAAGAATACTACGATACTGATTCCTGTAAAGCAGAAAGCTGAAGGTTTCTAGACTAGAGGATGTTAGCAAAAAAACTAGAATCGGTGTAGGGAAATTAATGTTTTTAAATTTGATAATTGATCATTGAGTGTCGCCCTTCCTCTAGTAAAGGTGAACCTCACAGTGGGATCCACATCTCGCTGTCTCAAATTCTTAACAATTACACGGTAGATGTTTTTTTTCCAACTGAAGAAATTACCACTGCCTCCTCCTCGCCTCTCTCATCCCAGAATCTCTCATTTATTATTTAGTTTTTAATTTGGCTATTTGAGTTTGGTGTTCTCGTTTGGAGAAATGAGTAAGCCTCTTCTAAACAGCCCACTTATCCATTACACTAAACCTGGCACACAGCAGACAGCGTGCCATGATTGACCATTAAAGAGGTTATTGATATAACAAACTTTTCCTCTTCATTATCCTTCTAATTCATGTGTAATTATAGAGGCAGAAAGGCTTTGGAGTTATTTTCACCTTGAAGTTGAAAGAGAAAGTGAATTTTGAGCACTTTGAGGCTTTCAGCCGACATATTTGTCTCTTTCTGTTTCATATCCGCTGTCTGTTTCACAGAGATCGAGATCGTTTAAGGGATACTATGAGATTTTAGCAATTGAACTCGTGGATACCATTTGTATGTCTCTGCGTTCAGTATGAAGGAAGTTAGAGGTAGTTTCGTGAGCCAATGCTATCTAGTGTTGCACGGTATACCCTTTTTTGATATTAGAAAAAAAAATGCTTTGGTACTAGATAATCTTTGACTTTTGGTACTTCTGTCAAATGTGTCTCACGTCATATACGCAATAGTCATATACGGAATACGGATTGAGAGGATAGAGTCTGTCTAGTAATTTGTCTGAATCTTCTCAAGGGGGCAGTAGTAAGCTAGCCAGGCTACTTATGCTTGCAGCTCACAAAGCGCAAGCCACTTTTGAGAAGCAGGCAAGAAAGAGAAACGCTGACAGCATGGCTTCTTCTAACGAAAACATCATACCTCCACGCCTGCAGCTTGTTGACAAAAATTACTCCAGAAGCGAACAATGGGAATACTTTGTTTACAGAGCAGATGATGAGGGCCAGCCCACCAAAACAACTAAGCAAAAGGTGTTATAAAGCCGTACAGTGCAAGGGAGGTTTAGTTCCAAAACGACATTAAAAACGATTTTAAACATGACATTTGCATTTTAATGTTATTCTACTAGCAACTAAATTCGAATTATTGTGATAATGACATAAACATATATTCAGCATGACATTCATGTGAGCATTATAATACGATTACAACCCAAAAGTAAATGTGAAATGCACTCATAACTTAGCTATGACAGTAATATATTTAGACTACTTCCTGTTTGTCTAGGATTGCTAGCAGTAGCCAGCCAGCAGCCCTGGGCGGAGAATTGTACCCTGGGAGATGAAATGCACTCTGGGAATCGTAGTATGCTGTGTAAAATCAAAGATTGTCTATTATATTGACAAGATAGTAAAGTGACCGCTCTAACAATGGAAGTACATGTCCTCAAAGATGGAAGGCAGGCAGGAGGAGGCGAGATCAGGTGGGAATATTCTAGTCAATGAGAGGGCAGATACGCATGTGAACAACAGGCCATAGAGATAGAAAGAGGACCCATCTTTGTATCTGTGCCATTATAGCATCTATGACAGCATCAGCAATCTCCATTTGAATATAGAATAGAATATATTCTATTTGTTATTTTAGTTGTTCTACCAGTTATCAACACACTATACACTGAGTGCACAAAACATTAGGAACACCTGCTCTTTCCGTGACATAGACTGACCAGGTGAATCCAGGTGAAAGCTATGATCCCTTATTGATGAAATTTGTTAAATCCACTTCAAATTAGTGTAGATAAAGGGGAGGAGACAGGTTAAAGAAGGATTTTGAAGCACACTCAACAGTTTCCTGTATGTATCAAGAATGATCCACCATCCAAAGGACATCCAGCCAACTTGACACAACTGTGGGAAGCATTGGAGTCAACATGGACTAGCATCCCTGTGGAACGCTTTCGACACCTTGTAGAGTCCATGCCCTGACGAATTGAGGCTGTTTTGAGGGCAAAAGTGGAGGTGCAACTCAATATTAGGAAGGTGTTCCAAATGTTTTGTACTCTCAGTCTATTGTTCAATGTTTAAAAGCCCAGTGGTTATTCTATGACTTCAGCAAATACGGTATTATTTTTTTGCCATGGTATCGTTTCGGTATCGAGTATCGTTTTAGAATTGAGTATTGTTTCGGTATCGAATATTGTGATACTAAACCTGGTATTGGTATCGACGTCAAATTTTGGTACCGTGACAAGACTAATGCTAACTGGCTTTAGCGCAATGCTGGAGTATGAAATTATGCACTCAAACTGAAGTAATAAAAATGGTCTAATGACTTTGAATCCTCCTAAAGATTG